GTTCTAATCACCATCATGTGATTTGGGGAAAAGGCCAAGGAGACAGATTGTGTGTCACTGAAGCCTCGTTCTCTCCCACAAACAAGAGCAGTGATGTTAATATTTTTTAAAATGAAAAATGTGCACTGAGGAATTGCAATAACATGCAGGTTTTAATAACCACAGTTCTACATCACACCCAATTCCCAAGTGCGTATATGTAATGTACATTTTGAAATGGATTTATAATACGTCTGTTTGATAAACCAAAGAGCCAGTAAACCAGGACTTTACTGAGACAAATGTCACTCTTTAGAGAATACATTCATATTACCCATAATTCCTGAGGAAGATGTATAATATAGGTCATGTTTCAAACACTAGTAAGTGATAAAAGGGGTTTATTATTTCATCATGAATTCATCAAAAAGAAAAGACAATGCCGTATTTAGTGCCTTGCTGCTATGTAAATAAAAGGATTGTATTTAGAGAACCACTGAGAATAACACCACATGAACACTCAAAAAATCAAACAACCATCATCCTGCCATTCAGTGTGTTTTCAGTGTGGATTCAGTGTGTTCTACCTTAAAAATGACTTAATCACAAAAAAAAAAAAAAACAATATGAGGAAAATCCTCATTACCCATAACTCCTGATTGGGCTCCATCAGTCACCTTAGACCACGTGATGGAGTCGAGCTGTCGGATTGGTGGAGCGATGATGTCTGGAGAGCAGCAAGATGGAGTGAGGGCGAGAAATTTAGCTGCGGAAACGGAATAGCAATCTCTCTCGTTCAGGACACGTCGCTGACTCAGCATCATGTGATTACATGGGATTAGATACCTGCCCAAAATCACACCATGTTAAAGTGTCATTGTATCACATTCACACACAAATCACTGCCTACAATTTTAAATGTAGAGCACTGAGACTTTCGGACTTTGAAACAAAGATTAATATCCATTCTCTTTATCTTAATCACTTGAGAGATTTGCATGGACTTACACTAACAAAAAAACAGCACAACGACAAACAGGTCACAAGCATCTCACCATCCAGTGTGTCCCATATCACATATTCACTACCCAGGCCACATAAACACCAATAAAAACATCTCATCATCGTCAGTCTGCTGTGGCTGTGTCCCAAATCAGGCACCATACTCACTATTCAGGCCACAGAAACACTACTATCAGGCCACTGTGAACATATCCCAAATCACACACCATATTCACTACACAGGCCACATAAACACCAATAAAAACATCTCATCATCATCAGTCTGCTGTGGACATGTCCCAAATCACACACCATACTCACTATACAGGCCACAAAAAAAAAATACTAATATCAATATCAGTCGATTGTGGATGTGTCCTAAATCATACACCCCGTTCACTACATAGGTCACATAAACACCGTCAATTTACTGTGGACGCATCTCAAAACACACATCCTAAGCAATATGCAAGCCAGATAAAGTCCTTTAACAGTCCACTGTGGCACGTGTCCCAAACTACACACCCTATTCACATACATGGGCCATACGCTATACACTCCCAAAAAAGTGCACAATTAAGTAGGATGTTGGTTTGTGACATAAGGTAAGGATACTCAAATGAACAAACTGGTTGTGTAAAGACGAGAAAGGTCTCTCAGAAAACGTACTCACTTGAGTATGAGCTGAAGCATGACGTCCTCACAGTACAGACCAATCAGAGTGCGGAAGAGAGCGAGAGACACAGTGCCCAACTGAAACACAGGAGAAATCAGAGACCAATTTAACAGGAGAATACAGAGCAAATGATTTACTCTTACTTAAGGATTATTACTCGTCAGTATGTTTTGCACTCTTTCCGAACGCCGGTAATTATATGAGAGCACCTGGAAGGGCGTGTTGATACGGCTGACGAGTGTGTCCAGGATGTGCACGTTGTCATGGCGATGGAGGAGGATGAAGCTAAGGAAGGTGTGTAGCAGCGCAGGTTCAGTGACAGCCTTTAGGAACAGATCCAGATACGCTGTGGTGGTCATCACTTCCTCTAGAGTCAGCTACACACACACACACACACACACAAAATGAATTAGCCCTGTGTCCTTTATGAATTAGGCTATGTCCTTTAAACACACATTACACCAGACATACAGAATCAATACTGAATAGTGTATGCAAGTGATCAGTGACTCCGCCCACTTTTTTAACATTCTTAGTTCCAGAAATGTGTCTCATATTCATCACCTTGACAGACATTTCAGAAAAACCACAGCATACTGAAGCACCACTCACTTTATGCAGCGCTGGTCCTAAAACAGGAATCAGAAAGCCGTTGATGATGTAGCCAACCAGCTGATCTCTGATGGACGGATGAGCCACCTGCATGGAAAAACAATGAGCACATTACACACGTGTATAACTATACTTTGGAAGTGAAATCATTACAGATCTTTAGTTACAATCAACAGAAAACGTCCTCATATAATTCACCTGCTTGCATCACTGACCATGTAATTTTTACCTTATTGCTCTCACCTGCATGACGGCATTACAGAACTCGAGTGAGTTTAGGAAGTGAACGAGTGCAGGCACCTGCTGCCACTCATCCTTCTGTATGCAGTGCCAGTCTTCACTGGACACCTCCAGCTTAGCAGGCAGAGACGAGTACAGACCACTCAGACCTGTGGCTAACACCTACACACAGAGAAAGGGAAAAAAAAGACACAAATTTACCACTGAATTAATGAAAGAGAAAGAAAAAAACACCTCATGGTAGATAGGAAGATGTAAGGAAGTAAAGAGAGTGATACCAGACAGATGATGATGTTGAGGTAAATGAACAGATACCAGACAGAAGAAGGTGTTGTGGTAAAGTGAGAGATATCGGACAGAAGAAGGTGTTGTGGTAAAGGGAAACACACCAAACAGAAGAAGGTGTTGCGGTAAATGAAGTGATGCTGGACAGAAGAAGGTGTTGCGGTAAATGAAGTGATGCTGGACAGAAGAAGGTGTTGTGGTAAAGTGAGAAATACAGGAAATAAGAAGGTGTTGCAGTAAAGTGAGAGATACCGGACAGAAGAAGGTGTTGTGTGCGATGTGTGTGGCCACACGCTGGTTGTCGTTGCTAAGGGTCATGATTAGGAGCAGGGCGTCTCTTGCTTGCTGCCCCATCGCTCCATCTCTGTGGATGAAGGGAACAAGGAGGGAAAAAAGCAGGAAGTTAGCAGCTCCCTGATCCTCACTGGAGTGGAAGAACAGCTCGAGGATGGAGGGATCGCTGGACACAACGCAGCACAGCTGATGGAGGAGAAGAATGAGCTCATGCTCCACCATTGAGGAAGTAGGAAGACCAGTTGCTGAGATAGAAAAAAAAACAACAACATTGTAATCAACATTAATTAACTGCAATACATCGGCTTCCTCTGCCTGGGATCTCTGACTGAAATTAAATATAACTGAGTGTATTGGGTACAAGTACTTGTGTTACTATAGAAACAATAACATATTAGAATAAGCGCATTAATATAATCATGTTCATTTTACAGCACAACTACAGTACTATACAACTACTGTCCGACCCGTGCTGTTGTACGGAAATAATGCACACCTTCTGACCAATCAGATTCAAGAATTCTACCGTGCTATGGTCTAAGTTGGAATAAACTGAATATTCTTTGGCTCATGGCTGTATTCTGTAGTTACTTGAGTCTTCTCTATCTTGTAATTTTAACAATAACAACAATGATGACAGCAACAAAAACAAGAATAACAAATTATATTTTGTAAAGAAGATTGATATATACACTATGAGCAATGAAAGAAAACAAGAAAAGAAAAATACAAAAAGCAATAAAGAAAGAGGGAAATAGAACAAAAGACACAAAGAATGACAAAGATAGAATGACAAAAAAAACAAAACTGATTGAACATCACAATGAACAGCAGAAAGACCAAAGCAAAAAAAAAAAACAACAAAAGACAGAACGACAAAAACACAGGGAAAGACATGAGAACAAAAGAGAGTGAGAATAAAAGACTGAAACGAAGACATAAAGAAAGACAAAAAGGAGAAACAGATAGAAAGGTAAAATGATTACTGATGTATTTACTTATGAACCTCACCCGTTTGACCCGTCGCTGTTCCCGAGCAGGACGAGAGCAGCATCATCAGCGGCTTCAGAATCGGCTTGTGATGTAACAGCGGCTGCTTGGCCTGACCAATCAGCATCTCATACATCTTGAGCTGCTCAAGCTTTGATTGGTCGGTGAAATCTCGCCTCAGGCTCCACACGAACAGGCGCTCCATCACGTTCTCCATAATGACGAACTCCAAGATGGGGCCCATGGCTCCGCCCACTCCACTCTCCTCCTCCATCAGGAGGAACAGCATGTGCTCTACGTAGTTCTGCACCGCGCTCGCCTCATCCAGTGGGATTGTCGCATGACGGAGACCATGACCTCTGAAAGTGTGAACTCCGACCCCGAGGCTGAGACCTCCACCGCTGCGTAAAGGGTCATGTTTCTCCAGGATCTTAACCACCTGATGAGCACAAACATTTTTCTATATATGGAGGTGTCCATAATACTTTCTGTGTATGCACACAAACAAGACGTACATTTTTCACACAATTCTTTTAATCATTTATAACGTTTCCTTGTGGTTCAAAATGATCATTGTTCAGCAAACAATAGTGACTATAAACTCCTGAAGACACCTGAGCCCAATGGTTCTTGAACACGATCATGCATGTTTCAGGGTCGACGCCCTTCGGGACCAGCGACTGGTTTCCTCGACTCCTATTGGCCACTGCAGATGCCATTACTGTGACATCACAGCAGGGGTTAAACCACAATGAGAGAAAAGAGCAGGGCCCCTCTTACTGCATTCTGGTCAAGGGTGGATCATGAAGCTGCTGGGAGACCTATAGTGGAATAAAAAAAGAGAGAGAGAGAGAAGACACATTCATTCATTCATTCAGTATTTATTTATTTAATTACTTATTTACTTATTTAAGTATTTGGGTCCCTGGAGGACTAGTGGTTAGGGGACAGCGCTCTCACCGATGTGGCCCGGGTTCGATTCCCGGCCAGGGAACCTACCCCAGCCACTGCGGGTGCATGCCACAGTGCGCTCTCAGTGCTGGTCCCAAGCCCAGATAAAATTGGGGAGGGTTGCATAAGGGAGGGCATCCGGCGTAAAAACTGTGCCAAAATCAAATATGTGGACCAATGACCCACTGTGGCGACCACTAACGGGAGAAGCCGAAAGAGGAACAACAGCAACTTATTTAAGTATTTATTATGTGCTCAATTTACATAGCTCCTTTCTAACAATCAAGGTCACTTATCATTAACTCATTTTTTGACATCAGTATTTTTGTGAGCTCAGTGTTTCTGAAAAATTTTTAGACACGTCATACTCAGCGTTTCATTCCACAAGCACTCCATAACGTAAAAACTGCCGTATGCTCGATGGTTAGTTTTCTTTAGAATAATAAAGCCTGTGGATTAGACATACAGTATGATGACTATACACTTGTCTTTGAGTTAAATTAAACTTGAACCAGCTAAACACATACACGATTGAAGAGAGACTGGAACACGGACTCACGATGTTATACCACCTTTAAGTTTACACCTTAAGTCATGGGCTGGGTCTCAAACCTACATATTGCTGTAGTAAACTGTGTGTTAAGCGTAGTGCATACTATTTAGCAAGCAGAGTTCCTAAGCATTTAGCAGCAACAGTAAAAGTTCCCCAGTTGCCATGACAGCTTTTCAACACTTTATCCCAATAAGAATACAGTCAGAAGCACATGTAGATGATGGAAATTCACTCTGGTCACATGACCAGCCTTAACCTCATTAGACGGCGAGCTTCTGGGATTTGGATTTGTCTCATTACTCACATTAATAACGCCATCTCCTTTCTTTACAGGCTTACACTTGAATATCGTTCTCTCCCTGGGCAGCAAACCAATACAACAGTCTCGCTAAGAAGTGTGTGAGCGAATTTAAGCCTCTTTGTTCCTCCACTTGGCCTCCTTAAAGCTATGACAGGAATGTCTATGAAGGGAAAAAACACAGACTCGACAAAACACGAGCAATCCTCCGAAGGCCGAGCTCGATCCCACAATGCACTCCGACTCCAGCTGAGAATTTCAAACACACAGGGTTCAGATTTCACACCGTGCTCATGAGAATGCCTCACGAAGGTGACACATGGAAAATGACATGGCTATGTGTTAATTCATATGTCTCTGTGTGTAGAACAGGATTCGGATGATTACAGACACGTTCTCCCGTCTTATGTAGGCGCATTTTATGTAACACCATATGCGAGGTTTGATATTCTTAGCAAGAGCAATTATAGCTTGAATATGAGTTCTAATCTAATAAATATGAGATTAAAATCTCATCAGCGCTTCATAAGCGGCAGCTTTGTTATCTATAGTTACTGAGTGTGTGTGTGTGTGTTTGTGTGTTTATGTGAAGAACTGGAGTGTAAATTTTTTATTCTACTACTGTTATTTCTGTAAATAAATATGTATTATATATAACAATATGTAAAATGTGCTATATAAGTAAGAGTTTACTATTAACCATAGAGCTACACTTTTCATTCATATCTGATTATGGGTGCATATTTCCCATAATCCCCTTCCTTGGAAAGACAGCCCCTTCCCAAAACTGAAACCAGAGTGGCTGTGTTTTGTAACGTCCCTGATTTTTTTGTGAACATAGTGATATATATACACACACGACAACTGCTTCTAAGTACAGATTTGAACAAAGTCCCTTCCTACCTGCGTGTGAACATTTCTGTGAGTTTCTGTTGGTCAGAAGGCGTCCACTCTGCTCACACTCCGAGTCTCAGCATCGTGTAAGGAACCGGCAGAGCTTCAGATTGGAACGGATCAGAAGGAATAAACCTATGAGGATGAGAAGGTGCTCGAGTGAGAAATGAGAGGGAGAGAGCAGCTTTTCAATAAAAGTGTGTGTGTGTGTGTGTGTGTGTGTGTGTGTGTGTGTGTGTGTGTGTGTGTGTGTGTGTATGAAACAGAGAGTGAGGAACAGAGTACATGTGGGAGTGTGTGTGAAGAGGCCTGGGAGGAAGTGACCGGATGGAAGCGAGGTGTGACTAAGAGAGTAAACTATGTTTACAGAAGAGAGAGTAGACATGAGGGAAAAACTGCAAGAAAGAAGGAGGAGGAGCCTGCTTGGGTGTGTGTGTGTGTGTGTGTGTGTGTGTGTGTGTGTGTGTGTGTGTGTGTTTAGAAGTATAGTCATAAGCACAAACAGTGAAAATGAGCAACATATGAAGATATATTTAAAGCCACATGCACAAACCCCAAACCACACACTAACTCCGCCCCCACAGTAACCCTACCCCACAAACTAATCCTGCCCCAGACACTAACCCGTCTCCATCACACACTAACCCCACCACCCCTGAAACTAATTCCACCCCCCTCGATCTAACCACATACTAAACCCAGCCTACACACTAACCCCATCCTACACACCATCCCCATACCACACACTAAACCCCACTCCCCTACGTACTAAACCCCACTCCCCCACACACTAAACCCCACTCCCC